TATGGTTCATGGGGTCACGAAGAGTCGGACACGACTTAACGACTAAACAACAACAAAGCTCTTTGCATAGGCTGTTACTCCTGTAACTCTTTCTGCTTCTAACTTCTTCACTTTTTGTGCTGATTACATTTCACATAGGTTTTGTATTGAATTTGTTACTAATTTGTGTCCTAGATTTCTGAGCAACACTGAAACCAAGGTATAAGATCTCCAAAAATGTAAGCTTATCTAAAATTTCCTTTTAAACGACTAGTGCCTGCCAGTAAGACTTTTTTCCTTCAGGCATAATTTTTCTCCCCAGTTGTTTTCATCGGATGAAAGCTTATCTGAAATTCTGCACTCTAGGTTTATGGTATATATAGAAAATCCATGGTCTACCAGATGTTAGACTACAGCTCCTATCATTCATGAACACTGGTTATTTCAACTGGTAAAAGAAAAGTCTGAACAACAAATAGTGACCAATGAGTTCCTTACGCCTGGACAACACAATCCTTTACATCCATATTATTAGCTTAGAATAGTAGATCTGTTCATAAAGAATGAATATGGGGACAAATAATTTTCAGGGCTGTGTATGCTTTGAACAAGGTTAGGAAGAAATTATTCTGACCTTGTGTGGGCAGAGGATTTCTTTGCTATTACTTAAATAACCTCTTTTTTCAGGCTTCCATGCAAGCCTTAAAAACACGCTACTTCATTAAGGAATCCAGTAAAGTAAAATCACGGCTTACTACATAAGAGTGATTCTGTCCACCTGAAAAAAAAAAATTAAAACATGCTTACACAGAAAAATCCTGTGGTAAGGTAGTGAGATATTGTAACATTATTTGGTAAATATACTTTTTTTTTTTTTTAGCAGAAGAATATACAACTTGTTTTTCCTGCAGATGTGGTTGGATTGCAACTCTCATCATCCTTAGTATTGGTGGAATGGAGGCTAATTAAGCTGGAATTCAATAACATCTGGAGAACAATATACTGTATTGCCCAAATCATTATAATCTAGCATATAATATATTCTCAGAATGAACCACTGTTTGCTACAGTCACTGAAGCATTTAACATACATGACCTATGATTGCCATACTGAACCACAAATTACCAAAGTTTAGTTTAGCATAGTTTAGTCTAGCAGACCCTGTGGTTAGTTTTTGGTTCAGGGTGTCATGAGACTCCAGAAAACTGGATTCACTGAGTTAAATGAATTTGTTAAGTCAGTGCCTCCCAAACCTGGGTAAATTACCCAAAATTGGGTAAAGTGGGTAACGACGCACAAATCCATTCACAACAGAGACATTTAAACTGACTTAAAGATTGCCACATGTACTAAAATATATTTGAAAATCTCCCAAAGTATTCCTATTAAGATGAAAATCAATTAAATTACCAATGGTAATTTGTTGAAATGGCATAAAGATCATTCAGTGATATTTTTATAACACAGGTAGTCCTCAAATTACAACCATTTGTTCAGCGACCATTTGAAGTTATGATGGTGCTGAAAGGACTTATGACCTGTCCTCAAAGTTCCAGCCACTGCAGCACCCCTGCAGTCATGTGAACAAAATTCGGGCACTTGGCAACCAGCTTGCATTTATGATGGTTTGCAGCATCCCATGGTCACAAGATCACCATTTGAAACTTTCCCTGCTGGTTTCCCACAAGCCAAGTCAATGGGGAAGCTGACAGGGGAAGTCACAAGTCACTTGGGTAAGTCTCCCTCACCCACCATGGCCTTTCTTCACTTGCCCGCATGCACTGTGCCTTCCTTCCCCC